GGTTTTTTTTTTTTTTTTTTTTTTTGAGGGAGAGCTATAGAGGTAATACAAATTCCATGGGATTGAAATAAAATTATTTCTAAATTTTTAATTTAAGATAAAATTTAAAAAATATGTATTATTTTAGAACAAAAGTAGCAGTTAATTATGTGTGTGTGATTTAGACTTAGTGATAACGTGCTGGCCAGCCCACCAAGAGAAAGGTAATGCATGCAGATTTAATTCTGTGAATGGAATATGACCCCACACCTAACATAAGAAGACTGGGAATGGGGGCTGTGCCCAGACCTATAGCAAAAATGTGTTAGCCATCTCCAATTGATTGGGTTGTTTTTTAACTTAGATTCCTTTAACATTTCAGTTACTTCAAGGGAAAGTTCTAATTCCTCTTTATCTTCCACAACACATTTCAGTTAATTCAAAAGAAAACATCTAATTCCTCTTTATCTTCCACAGCATAGATTGGTCCTTTGGAATTGGAGTTATGTCATTTCAGGAATGACATAAATATTTTTAGATTCATCATTAGTAAAAGAGAAAATGTGAGCAAATAATCAAGGTAGTATGAACAAGAATTGAGTGAACTTTTTGAAAAGGTATTTGGCAAAATAAATGTGGATAAAACTTGGAATTTTATTATATTGCATTTGAATACAATGGTTTGTACAGAGTGTAACATATCTTATTGAATTTGAAAAAATTGGGAAAATTATTCATTATGATAGCAAAGCTTCAAGAAATATAAAAATGCTTGTTGAACTGTCCTTCTTGTAGCCACAAGCCCAACTACAAGAGGACTAACACGCCTTACATATTGAAAGTAGGCAGAGGAAGGAATTCCACTATGCAAGTGTTGAAGGGTTTGCCATAAAACAGGCACAATTGCCATATTGACTTTAGTCTCATCGTCAATAGAACATATGCTCATTCTTCCAAAGGCTTCAACCAAATCATCTTTCTTCTTATTACCCGCCAATGTGTTATGGATGACATTGGAACCAGGTGCTGTTGTCTCACACTCAAACTTAAGTTTCTTTGAAAGGAACTCTTGAACATGATGATGTAAAGCTAAAGAAGACTCAGCATCGTGCCCAATTGCACCATCACGATATTCACAGCTTGCTTAAGGGTTACACCATGCAGGAAAAGGGGGTCTTCCTGGTGCTATGATAATTGGAACAATTTGACAAGTGATTGCCAACTACCTGAATGCATTAGCATATGAAATTGGGATTTTGTCAAATTGATGAGGAGCTCTTAGGCCTTGAAGCCTTAACAGTATATACGGAAGGTTGATATGTATTGTTGTATT